CGCAGTGGGTAGACTTCTAGATGTGAATTTAATGCGCAGCGCTGGTTTAAGTGAAGAGGATATCCAAGATGAGATCGAAAAGGAGCATAAGCGCTCGTTCGGCTCTACCTACGACATTGATAGGCAAATATTAAGCAGTCAAAAGGTTTACGACGACAACTACAAGATGCCAAGTGAGAACGTGTACGTGGTGATGTCACCTGACGGGGAAGCCACCCGTTCCAAGCGTGATGTGTTAAATTTCTATCAAGAACCAAGTTATCAAGGCGTGCGCCTCAGGAGAGTGAATCGGAAACATGTGGTCAAGCGCTCTCTCAATGAGGACTTGCCTGATGACTTGCAGCATTTAGACGGACCGTCGAGCTCGTCATCGCTGACGTCAGCCGCCATGGACCTGGTGAAGCAGACTGACTGGAGAGACTCTCAATGTGCCAAGTTCACATTCTGCAAGGTGCTAACGTCGCAACCTTCGGATTCACTCTTCGCGATGGAAAAGAAGATGGAGTCGCTATTAAAGCTGTAAGTAATACTTTATTACAATTATGTAGTACATTAACCTATCTATATACACACAAACAGTGCAGCAGTGAGCGTGGTATGTAGCAACAAAAGAGGATCTTGCACAAGTCACGATATTCACTCAAAACCTTTGTGCGAGGCCCTTTACTGGCTAGGTTTAATGCCAATAAGGAGCAGTCGTGAATTGAGTTCATATAACTATACTGAACGGAACGCGCTGCCCACAACCAAAATTGTGTGTCACATAGCTTTTGGTGATAAAGCTTCATTAAATTAAATTTCACCCATCTCCCCACTGCGCACTGGCAAGGGTAAAATGTGACCTTTACATGTAAAAATAATGTTGTGCCCAAAAGTAGAGCCTCGTTCTCTTACCGTTGTTGCTTCGTATCATCGATACAATAATATAGTTTAACTAGCTTTCCACCAACCAATGTAATGCGTAGTAAAGACATCAACGCGTTGAGATCCCCCAATATGCCAACTCTGTTCAATAGACTTTCGACTTTAACACAAAACAATAAAGTTTACAAAGATATGAGGTTGGTTGGTATATGTTGACCTGCTGTCGTCAGCTCCGTGCCCTGGTACAGTGTCACCTGACTGCATTACATAAGGACACGAGTGAGTGGATCCTATTAGAAACCGCGGCTGCAGAGAAAGCGATGATGCGATGATACGACCCATCTTATATGCTAACGTTTGATACTTAATAGCTTTGGCTCCACCAATTTGTGTATTTATAAGTAGGTACTTATTACTAAAGTAGTTGCAACCCACGCGTGGTTTAAGGCAAAAAGTACTCAGTATCTCTCCAATGTATCTACTATCTCCAGAATCAAAATCATGCCAAAAAATCAGTCTGTTGCAACGACGTAAAGTAAAGACGAACAAATGAACTTTCGCTTTTATAATATAAGTAAGAATTATCATGCATTCGCGATGTTTGGTTATAATTGTTTATACATGCCATTCGCCATGTTCATATGTACATGTTACTTAAGTTATTCTTTCAACAATTCAAATTATACGTTGACTAAAATTTGGTCAGTTTAGTGTAAAAGATAAGGGCAATATAATCTCTATATACGTAGCGACTTAAAATAATGTACCTATTCTGTGTAGGTTTCCGAAAATCTAATATTTATTACAAAAAAACAAACGTGAAGTTATCAATAGTTTAGCGCGCGCTAAGCCACGTGTCAAAACATTAACACCGGTTACATTAGCATGCATTACGTGAACACTTTCTCTTTCGCCGTCCGTCCGTCCGTCCGTCAGTACCTCACGTAACCTGCGCTGCAACAAAACACGACCGTTTTGCTAATATACAGCCTTGCACTGCGCATCACAAACTAGAGTAGAAATTGTCCAGGAATTTATTCAAATGTACCAAGTGTCGCTTGCTTTAGATTGTGACATCGCACCTCTAAGAATTCCGCCAATTTTTACTTGCATGAAAGTGCACGCATTATTTCCCGGCGATATGTATATAGAGCAGCGATTGTGTGTCGGAATGTGCAACTCTTACTTCTTCCCAAACATTCCAGTGTTAAACAAAACTCAGTTTTATTATCTTTCAATTAACACTAACATTAAAAGTAAAAGTCACAGTTTCTACTACACATGTAATGTAAAACTAATTTCATCAAGATAACGTCGCTGGTCAATTTTCCAACTTTTTGCTTAACAAAAAAAAGTAACAAACCGCAGAAGTAATTTGACCAAGATATCATTAATCTACTTTATAATGATAATGATATGTTACATAAATATCTGCTTATACTTACCATAAATCCGGGTACTCTCAGTATAACCTACTTGTTACTTAGACTTAAAAAAAGTAGAGAAATAATAGAGTAAATAAAGCTTCAAATATCGAACACCGCGCGGACTGTGACGTAAGATCACATAACCGTTATGTCACGAGCGCTGGATGGAGGCCGCGTGTAAAAAAGCGATGAGAGTTGCTCTGCGAATTTGGTGTCAAGAGCTGCAAAAAGCTATTTGATTCATTTCTTTTATTTTCATTAATTACGAATTAACTCTAAGTCGAGGCCTACTTCTTCTTGTATCACGTTTTGTAAACGTAAATTAGCTATTCAATTGACTTTTCAAATAGCATTCAGTGACACTTGTACAAATAGTTTGAACTCTAAAAGCTATTCATTCTCTTTACATATGTACTGTCCCATTTTTTTCCAAATTAACATTAGTAACTTCTATTATAGGTAATTAACACTCAGTAGAATAGTCCCAAGTTATGTAAAACATGTTCTCACGATAAATTTTGATCATATTTATTGCAAGCAAAGAAATTAATCGCTTTAGCCGCTACTTTGGCATTACCACAGTTTTTGTCCACCTGCACGCTCACAGACGGCTTGCCGCCAAAAAACGTAATTTGTTACGTAACGAGGTGCGTTCAGAAACAGTGAAAGTGTTCTGACCACATTCCTCACAGATATTACATGTTCGGAAACGAAAAACGAATCCAGCCTATGAATAGTTTATGATTGATTATGTTTATCATTCCAACCTTCCACCAACACGCCATGTGCCACTCGACTCGGCCTTTTTTCTGACAGAGATATCTCCAGGGTCAAAGTAACATTGATCGATTGATGGAGATGACGAAATCTCTATACATAAAATTCTATCTCTAATTGATTGTCATTGCATTAGATTTGGAAACGTTTCGTATGCGGGGTGCACCTACGTCAAAAGTTTATCTCTAGTAGTCACAACTACGAACTCACAGATACGTTACTGATATATTTTATTATCTAGTATTTATCTATAGCAATAATTATAGATATCAATAATACCTAGTGAGTAACAATTGCTTTGAATAGAAAGATCAACTTCGAATTGCCAAAATTCAGCTAAGAAAGCAACTTATATGGTGCAGCAAAAACAACAAATTCTTTCAAATCTTAAACACCAACAATCATGGTGGCAAGGCTTAACCATGGAGCAATATTAGTACATTTTTAATTTTTTGCAATGTTTTGAAAATCTGTAATTAAATCCAACGCAACGTGATCCAACAATAGCACACATTAGTATCTCATTAATTATTCGTAATTGCGTAGCGTAGGTAGGTACAGTTAGAAGCAATTGGCAATATGTTTCGTAAGTAGTATGTGTTGGGAATACTGTTAGTAACGCGAGCAATTCCCATGATCTCTGAGCTAGATGTGGAGTTACACCGCGTGTAACTTTTTGTAACACTGTTTAAGTGTGTAGGTACTTTGTGAAAATGTTAAGTAATGGTAGTTCGAATATCTATTCATTCATAAAATAGCACCTGAATATACACCGATTAGTTAACTACAATCAACTTCTCTGCTCTGGGTTTGTTGGTTTGTTTTAGTAAACGTATCTTATCACACGTATGACAGAGAAAATTGTCGTGTAAGAATATCATAAAATCAAAGGATTTATTTCAATTAAACCATAATTTGGTACTTTTGAAACGGAAATACAAAAAAAATAATAGTCTGTTAGTCTGTCCGTCAGTGGAGCTAGGTGCTCATTCCGAAATGTAGATTCGAATGGTGAAGAACGAGCAAGAAACTGCATTCAATTAAAAAAAAAGTCTGTTTTCCAATGTCTCTGATACATATTCCAATATTTTAAGTATATGTGAGAACAATGCAAAGACACGCTTGACGCATTACCTACACAAATTACAAAACTTACTAAAATAAAAAATAAACTTCTAGATATTATTGTAGCTGCATAATCTGGATCGTAAGTTATTAAAAGGAAATGGTTATATGGGCAATTGTCATTTGTTTTGGAAATGGGAATGAGAAACAACATACACTGCAGCAACTTCAAATTGCATAACTACTTTTTACTCGTGCAACACATGTCGTTGAAACTTACGACCACCCAAGCACCAAGCGCATATTAAAATTAAAGAGGGAAAACGAAAAGTTAAAAAGAAACTTGGAACAAACAAGAGCCAATGAGGAGTTTCTCGGCGAAGTCATAAAGCATGGCGGCGTGAAAGCGTGCAGCGCCTGCGCACACCATGACTCACTCAGGGGTAAACCGCACTTTGTCTCAAAATCATTTAAGTACCGGTAACAGTCTGTGCCAAGGGACACTTAATGAGGTACTAAACACTATTGTTTGGAGTTACTGAGCTGTGGGCTACACAGTACAAACGTAACGAACATGTGTAGTATGGAACTTAGGTTCTTGCGTTTTACGACTGTTGTTATAATTAGAATGAATGTTTTATCATAATCATCACAGAACTATAATAAATCGCAGGTCTAACCTGCTGCTTTTTTCTGTCATATTTAATTTGGTTCTCCCTTATTCACCTTAATTTTAACACTAGGTTTCGGTATTATTTGGTTTTTCTGTTACTAATCCTTTGAAACTTGTAGACAATCATAATCTCAAAAGCACTACGTACAGGGTCTCATCTGTACCACCACTAATGTAAAACTTGTTTCTGTACACTAACAATACACTTGTATCGTTCCAGCATCTCCCGAGGCGACAGCACCAGCGCGGCGGTAGTGGCTCACCAGCTCGGTGACGTCATGCAGGCGAGCAGAGACCACGACTGCCATCGCTTCCGATGTGACATCCACTAGGAGCCTCAAATCCTCTGTAGGAACCACGAAGCCGGCAACCATAATGCAAGCTTAAAGTGAACTATAGGTTCCTGATGATGACCAGTTTATGAACATTGATTTGTCTAGTGTGTGATTTTTGACGTAACATCTATTACGAGAGCCACATGGATTAATCGCCTCTCTTGAATCGATTCCCAAATGGATCGAGTTATATTTTTGGACATTTGTGAAAAAGACAACTATTAAAAACCGTCAAGTGCATAATTTATTGCACAGAGCTGCAAACTTTACTGCAAGTTAAGAGAAAGGTTTTGATATTCGCGTGCTATTGGTGTAGTTACGCATGAAAGAAATTGACCTAGACCTGTATGTTTACTAAGGTCTAAAAGATTAATAGGATGACATATTTATTGTCTAATAAAAACATAAGATATTTGCAGTTTGTGAGTAATATAGAAGGCGGTACAATGATTGTGAAGCAATATGAACCGTGTGCAGAGTACACAAGGTTCAAAGTCCGCACTATACGTGATAGGCTTACATTAAGATTTTCGTGTATCATATTTTCTAATAGTTGTCATATTTAAATATAAGATGAACTTTAAAATTGGTACATAAGTCTTCAAGCTGACACGTAGCGTGTCGCAGTGCAGTGATTGAGAAAATATTTATTTATAATTTATTGTTTAGTTATAATTAGTCATAACATGTTGATTAGGGTCTACGGGTGAGTGTCACTGTTTATTTGTATTGAAAACTATGTGCGACGCGGCACGAGTCGCGCATTTGTACATAAATAAACCACGTGACGTTTATTGTAAATAGAGCTCACTGTACCGACGCGACTGGTGATCGCATGCTCGATTATACAATCGCTCGGTGAGTGGCAAGCTTTACGAATGACTATACGCCATCAGCCATATAACGAGTCGTTCCTACATCTCTGTACTAACAACTACAACATGTAACTGTTTGTATACATCCGTCACCTGGCGACTTCGCACAACCAACGTATTTATTGTTACCAAATAATTCATTTTGTCAAACGGCAATTGTCTCGTAAATTATTATTTATTTTAGATAAATTATTTAAAACTTATTTAATCGATTTTAAATTATTATAATCGACGCTGAAGATTACAAGCACTACACTTTTGAGCAATTTATTTTAATATTTGTTTTGCACCAGTTTTGTAGAGAGTTCAAAGTCCATTCCATGGTCAATATGAATTATTTTCACCGTCGATATTATGTTACGTTATATTCTCTAAACACGCATTACATTTAAAATAACTTTATTAAGATTTTATTTATTAGATGGCGCTGTAAGTTGTACATAATGCTTTTACAAACAATATAAATTATTTATTTATTTTTCTGCGAATAAAATAAAAAACTTGATATTAATAAGTGTATATTATTTATATTTCAATTTCTACATGATTTAATATAACAAATACTTAATTATGATACCAATTAACGAGTCCTGCTTTAATTGCCTCATAGCCGATTGGAGATCCCACGACTAGGGTCAAGCAAGAGTTATAGAGCGAGCCTTCTTTCATATATCCTAATAGACATTTTAGTATATGAAAAAAACGAGTCTACTAACAAGCTAATGAAAACTAATCGAGTTAAATGTCTTACCTTACCCTTCAGAAAATAAATGTTATCACAAAAAGCTATGCGTAATTGGTATCACATTAAGTCACATAATTTATAATAATAAAAAACTAATATTTTGAATAATGGTCACCCAAAAGAAATAACGAAATATACAAATATTGATTGAACAACAATAATGTAAGGACGTGTGTTCTTCTCTTCTATTTGCTACTATGTCCAGTTCTCTCAATTATCTCCTGCAAATGAAACTATATAAGTTTCCATAATAACATAACATCATGCCTTTTATCCTCGAAGTGGTAGGCAGAGGTGCCATTATGCACTTAACGAAACTGTACAATGTAACACCCACTTTTCACTATTTATGTTATGAGTCCCATGTAATAGGGGTGAGCCTATTGCCATATACCGATACTAAATTCGACCGATTTTAAAAAAACCACTAATACTTTGCCCGACCCGGAAATCGAACACGAGACCCCTTGCCTTTGCCTTAAAACATTAAAAATGTATTGTAAAAAAAACATTTTCAAGTTGTGTACCTCAAAGTTAATTGTCGCAGTCCACTGCGCTACTTTTATTGTAGTCCGGACGCCAAGCTGGCATTGTCACCTGCGTAAACACAGAAATTGCACTGCGTAAACAGTAGACCATAAGCTCCATTAAATTACTCCTGATTACAGCTGTACTGCCGTTGGTTACATCACCCAGTCCTAAACAATTGTTTTCGTATAACAATCTTACTAAACAAGTTTCAGTAATCGCCAAACAAAAGCCATTTGCCACTATCACCATGTACTGCGCGAATAGTGCAGGGGCTACGTACCGCGTGCTCGTGAGCGTCGAGTTAGTCTATGGACGCACTATTGGGAACCTTTCCATTAAATAACATCCATGTAACTACGTACCATCACCCTCATTTTCACCCTGCTTCTCTTTCTCATTCTCCTTCTCCTCATTCTTTTTATCTTCCTCTTTTTCCTTCTGTGGCTCTACTGCAGCCACAATCTGATCTCCGGCGCCAACATTGGGCGAAGGTTTCGGTTCGATGGGTATCACTTGCCCTGGCTCCTTTGCGTCCAGCTGATTGCACTCCAGACATGGCTGGAGCTCCTCCTCTAACATGTATAACTAGACAAGGATTAGTAGGTTAATCTAAGAGAACTACCTACAAGCTTCTTAATTCGAAAGGTAGCAGTTCAGTCAAGGCTTGGCAGAATGATGTATTCCAGTTAATTTTATTACTGCGGTCTCTTGGAGCCAACTAATCAACTCAAAATCAATTGAAGAATATAGTACGATAAATGACTTAGTATTACGAGTTACTAACCCGTCCGTCGGTGCCGTACCCAGCGTACCGCTTGGTGGGCGGGCCGTGCAGGGCGGGCGGCGCGGCGCGCTCGTGCGACACGTGCTCCGACACCAGCGTGTGCGAGCCCCCCGCCCAGCGCCGGCACACGTGCGACCTGCGCCGCCACCACCTTTACTTCACTACCAGTCTACGTCGAGGCACATACACTTTCAGAGTATTATAGACAAATGGTGGATAAAAACTATCACAACACAATGGTGGGCAACGAACGTCCAACCTAGAATTGTCGTAGTACATAATCCCATGATTTCGTTCTTTTAGGTGTGCAGTAGCTGCCGTCTACATTAACTATTTCGATGTTATAATGTCAGATAACTTGGAACATGGAACTAGTTTTTTACTAGTTATTTAGGTAATTGTTTGCACAAAGTCCTCGAAAATGTAATCTAAAATGATACCTACTTCAGATAACTGTCTACATAGGTAACCAGATTTAATATGTCATATACTGGAGATTCCAATTTTGTACCTGGTGTCTGCTGGTACCAGCGGCTTGAGCTTGGTGAGGCATGGCTCCTCCTCTCCGATCGGCGGCGGCCGGAACTGGGGCATAGCGAAGGGCTTCCCGTATTTTGGTTCTGTCAGCTCCATGAGTGCCGGAGTGAGACACGCTCCGCACGCCGCGCCCTTCGCCAGCTTCCGCATCAGCACGGCCGCCTGCACCACGTGCACCGACAGACTTGTCAAAAATATAGCTCTTCCTCTATTACTAATACTCCACAACATGACTTATCATTATCAGTGTTCTAATGAACACTGCAGAACACAAAGCGCCCCTACAGGACCACCAGTTCGTTCGACTTATATACTATTATATATTATATATGTCTACCTAAAAAACTACAAAAACTTGGGAAGTTTTTGAAGGCGATAAGCAAATAGACTGAGACCTTCGGTTCTCCAAGCATGATGTACAACTGCCGCAGCTTCGCCTGGATATTCTTCAGCTCCATGGTGGCAGAGTCCTTAAGCACCATCAGTTGAATTATCTCTGCCTTGGTTTCTGCCACAGCTGACAGGTCTTTGAGCGCCGTCTATTTATTTAATTTATAAGAAGATAAAACAATCACAACACTAGAAGAACGAAGTGTAATATGTTCACATCTTTTTAGTGCTTTATAAAGTTTGAATATGCCTAGGAACATAGGAGTAGGATGCTGACCAGCCACACCATGTCCTGTTTCGTGAATTTTTCATAACAATGCATCAGTCGGTTGTCGAGCTCTAGGCGCGCGTGCATGAAGTCCGTCTCGTGTAGTAGACCAGTCAGCCGCGAGATGTCCGCCTGATAAACAACACAGATAGAATTAGTAGCAAAATTAACTAATACATCTATTATTCCACAAATGGTGTATGTCTATTTTTTTAATATCACAATTTGACTTTGATTAATATGTGTAAGTATGACAAGCTGACCCGGCAAACTCCTTGGACTTCCACGAACATTTCAAGACCATAATTAGCGAAATCGGTTCAGCCATTCTCGGGTTTTAGCGAGACTAACGAATGATTCATTTTTATTTATATAGATATCAAAGCGGGTACCTTATCCCTAAGGCCATCGAACACTTCGTCTCTGTCAGCTTTTTGTTCTCGAAGCATTTCAACACACTCCACAAGACTCTGCGAATATAGTATTATATAGATTTTTACTCACAAAGACACGTTATTTAATATCGATTATTTAATATCGATGTTTGTTTGTAGCAATAAGGTTGTATTTGGTTTAGAGGAATTTTGAATGAATAAACGTGTGTTTGACGCGAAACTTTATTCTCAACTAACTTGACACATTAGAAAAGTGGACTGTATGTGATCATCTACATATCGATAGCTAGCTATATACTAAACTTATATTCATTAAGTTGTAGGTACTTGCTTAAACATTCCGCCCCCCAAAGAACGCAGTTCTTTAATATGAATTTACAAAAAAATAGGTATACAATTACAATGTTACATTAATAATTAAATATGATATCTAACTTGTGATGATAAGGTAAGTTTACAACAATACACTCTTAACTAGAGCATCATAGTAACATCCAAATAATGTCAACATAATAATAACACTGCAAAGGTAATGTTTACAAGTTACTAGGTATACTTACATACGTCTATGAGAGGGTCGGAATCATACTTTATACAACGACTTATATAGAATGTATGAGTAACAGGCAAATACTTAGTTCATAACTGAACATATACACCCCTTTAACATCATAATACTAACATTACACAAGATAACATAATAACATTACACAAGATTCAAGGTAAGTTATAAGTTTTCATGTTCCTCAATTATAAGTAGTTAGTTTTAATTAGGCAAGTGCATATTATATTAGTTTTACAAAGAGTACTTAACATTTATCCTAAATTTATTTCGTTAAGATACATACTTTATTTACAGGACGTTTAACAACATTATTCTTACATTTAATTGATACAACTCGAGTAAGGTTGTCGGGACCAACATGTTTTTGAATTACTCTTCCTAATATCCACTTACTAGGTGGGATATTATCATCTTTCAGGATAACTATGTCATCGATTTCTGGCTCAAGTTGTTTTGTGTTCCATTTATATATTTTATTAAGATTAACAAGATACTCTTTATACCATCTTTTCCAGAAATCGTTGACCATTTTTTGTACTAATCTCCATCGTTCGAGATTAGTGATATGTTTACAAGGTGTATAATTCTCATCTGAAAGGTTTATTAAAGGTTCGCCAACCAGGAAGTGACCTGGTGTCAGGGGAAGAGGGTCATTAGGGTCATCACTTAAAACTGAAATAGGTCGCGAATTTAAACACGATTCAATCTGTGCTAACACAGTAGTAAGTTCCTCGTAGGTGAGTGTGCTATTTCCAATTACTTTTCTGAGATGTGTTTTTGTGCTGCGTACTCCAGCTTCCCACAAACCCCCAAAATTGGGCGCATGAGGTGGAATAAAATGCCATGTGCTTCGTTCTAAAGTTAACAACTCTGCTATCTCACCAGTAATAGAAGACTTGGCGTTATCAAACATATCTCTTAGCAACTTGTCTGCTCCCACAAAATTAGTGCCATTGTCACTGTACAGGTCCTGACAATGTCCTCGTCTGGCTGTAAAGCGCCTAAAGGCGGCGATGAAACCCTTAGAAGTTAGGTCTGTAACTGCCTCCAGGTGTACAGCACGTGTTACCATGCAAATGAAGAGACAAATATAGCCCTTGTAAGCTTTAGCTCCTCTACCTGGTGAAAATCTGATATTAATGAGACCTCTGTAAACGCAGGACAAGATATTAGCGACCTTTTCGCTGGCTATTTCCAGTCTACCTTTTTAGAACCCGAAACAACAACGGCTGATGATGAGGGTACTTCTGGTGGGCGATGTAGTAATACTGCTATGTCTGTCAGCACAGTCGACGTAAACCACCCACGTGTCTTGAAGTTGCTGAAGTCCTTGGACCTTACCAAATCAGGTGGACCAGATCTAATACCACCGTTGTTCATTGTTAATTGTGCTGATAGTCTTGCTAAACCCATAACTATCCTATTCAAGCGGTCTCTTTCCGAAGGTAAAGTTCCAAAGATCTGGAAGTCTGCCTTCGTCACTCCCGTTTTCAAAAAAGGGGATAAATCAAACGTTGAAAACTACCGTCCCATTTCTAAAATCTGCCTCTTTTCTAAAGTTCTGGAACGTATAGTTTATACAGATGTCTACGCGGCTTTTAAGACTATTCTTGGTGATGAACAACACGGTTTTATTAGGAGCCGCTCGACTACGTCTAACTTACTTCTGTCACAGGAATTTATTACGAACGGCATGGCGCAGCGTCAAGTTGACGTAATTTATACGGACTACAGCAAATGCTTTGACCGTATTGATCACCGCATGCTACTGGAAAAGTTGCTTCTCGCCGGAATTCACGGAGACTTGTACCGATGGTTCTCATCCTATATAGAGAACAGAACGCAGGCCGTCGTGCTTCATGGCTACACCTCAGGTTGGAGTTCTGTCCCTTCAGGAGTGCCCCAAGGTTCCATTCTGGGTCCTTTGTTATTCATATTGTTCATTACAGATATCAAACAATGCTTTCATCATTCGTATATTCTTCTCTATGCTGATGACATGAAAATTCACAAAGTTGTAAGAGACATGTCTGATGCATATCGAATGCAAGAGGACCTGCACAGATTTGAGATGTATTGCAAACGTAACAAACTCCAATTAAATGTCACTAAGTGTTTCGTCCTAACATTCTCACGACGTACGTCTTTGATCAATTTTAATTATGTCATCAACTCGGAAGTGATTAGCAGGCTGAATAGCATAAAAGATTTGGGAGTGATCGTAGACAACAAGCTTCTATTTGATCAACATGTGAATAATATGGTAACAAAGGCATCCAAGGCTCTAGGATTTATACTCCGCACTACGGCCTGTTTCCGATCTCTTAAACCGGTAAAAATTTTGTATTGCTCTTTCGTACGTAGCCACTTAGAATACGCATCACAGGTTTGGAACCCGCAGTATGAGGTTTATAAGTCCCGTATTGAAGGCGTCCAAAGAAAATTTCTTCGTTACCTTGATTATAGAGCACAGCAATACTCAGTTGACTACAACCACCGCTGTAAACGGTACCACTTCCTTCCTCTGGACATGAGGCGTCATATTGGAGACATAACTATGCTTATGCGTATCGCAAATGGTCATATTGACTGTCCTGAGCTTGTTGCAAAATTAGCATTGCGCACGAACCTAATGGGATTACGTCAGCGACCTATATTAAGTGTACCCTTCACATCGACTAACTATATGAAAAATGTTTTTTCTATAAGGAGTGCACTTGAATTTAATAGACTGTCTAAGGAATTTGACATCGACTTATTCTGCACCAGTGTAGCATCCTTGCGACATCAAATCTCACAAAACTTCTTCGATGGTTAACTTCTTTGTCTAATTATTCTTCTAGCAATTGATATTTGTTAGTAATTAATTGTCTTCTGTACTCTTTTTTATGCCTTTCTGTTTTTTCTTTTTATCTATATGTGGAGGCTTGTAATTAGCAATTTGTCAATACTATACTCTTATAAAATCATTTTCAATGTATTAGTCTGTAAGCCTTCTTAAAATAAATAAAATAAAAAATAAAATAAAATAAAAAATAATAGGTCCCGCATAATCTACACCAGCTGATCTGAAAGGTCTGCTGGGTTTTACACGTACCTCTGGTAGTTGGCCCATCAACTGTACAGCATTGTTTTTTGCATATCTAATACAAGTTGTACATTCTCGGTAATATCCTTTTACTTGATCTTTAGCTCGCAGTATCCAGTACTTCGACCTCAAGTAATTTAGCATTACTTGTGGTCCACCATGCATTGTGCTCTGATGGGCATCCTTAATTATTAGTTTACTAAGATGGCTCTTAGCAGGTAAAATTATAGGATGCCTTGCATCATACGCTGCTTGCGACTGTTGAACACGTCCGCCAACTCTTAAAATGCCATTATCATCGATAATGGGACAAAGATTGCGTAGTTTGCTCCTTTTGAGAACACTACCTTGGGATTTTAGCTGCTTTATTTCTTGATTAAATTCTATAGCTTGGACTTGTTTAATGCAATTGTTTAAAGTTTCAGTTATTTCTTGTGTTGTAATAAATTTAGTATTGTATTTAGCCTTGTCTTTATTTAACTTTAGTAACCATCTCCTACAGTATGAAATTACTCTCAACATTTTCTGTAAATTAGAAAACTTAGTCCAAATTAATTCGTCTTCAGTATTTAATAAAGCAGTTAAAACTCTGACTTTCTCTTCTTCTTGCGTGTCCTCGACATCAACTAAATTCATGTTTAGGTCTAGTGCAGACAACCAAGCTGGACCATTCCACCACAGTAACTTATTTATCAACTCTGAGGCCTGTAAGCCTCTTGATGCGCAATCAGCCGGGTTTGTGTCTGTAGTCACATGACCCCATTGCTCATAATCTAGAATGTTCAATATCTCAGAGACTCGGTTGCTGACAAATGTATTCCATCGACTCGCTCCACCTTTTAACCACGCTAGAACTATAGTCGAATCTGTCCATGCGTGTAAATTTTCCTTAGCTATGTTCATTACTTGCGCTGTCTCAAAAATTAGTTTGGCTGCTAGTGTGGCACCACAGAGTTCTAACCTCGGAATAGATAATTGTTTCTCAATAGGAGCAACTTTTGTTTTTGCTGATATTAAATGAACTCTGACTCTGTCTCCCTCGACTACTCGAATATACACAGCCGCCCCATATGCTGCCTGCGAAGCGTCTGCAAAAACGTGCAACTCCATCGCAGACCTGTGTGAACATTGCAACCACCTAGGTATAGAAACATTTTTGATGTAAGTTAAATTATCTCTGAAGTGTAACCATTCTGCTAGTAACTCTCCACTTATGGTGTCGTCCCATCCTAGTCCTTCTTTCCATAACTTTTGTATCATTATTTTTGCTATGACAACAACAGGAGCTATCCACCCTAGCGGATCATACAATTTAGCAACATCAGAAAGAACACGTCGTTTAGTTATCGGTTCCTTTGATTCTGGTAAGTTGAGGGAATATACAAAATTGTCAGCGTCTCGATTCCAATTAACTCCTAGTACTTTAACTAAACTATTGACTTTAAGAGGCAGTTCATGATCATTTCTTGCATTTATACCCATATATTTTAACACGTTCTCATTATTACTACTCCATTTTTGTAACTCGAAGCCTCCTAAGTTCAGTAGTTTGTTCATGTCATTGTAAATATTAATAGCTTCGTCTTCTGTCTCACAACCTGACAATAGATCATCCATATAGAAATCTGTTTTTGTTATTTTAGCAGCAGCTGGAAATGTTGATTTCTCATCATCTGCCAATCTCTGTAACGATTTCACTGCAAGGTATGGTGCACATGCGGTACCAAAGGTCAATCTCACCAGTTTATAATGTTTAATTTGCTCAGTTGTTGTAGGTCTCCATAACAACCTTTGATAGTCTGTGTCTTCCTCAGCTACACGCACCATTCTATACATTTTTATAATATCTGCTGTAATGCAAATTTTGTGTGTCCTCCATCTCATCAATATATGACGTAAGTCTTGTTGCAACTTGGGACCCACAAGCAAATTGTCGTTCAAGGAAACATGATTGATACCCTTACACGAAGCGTCAAAAACCACCCGAAGTTTCGTCGTATCTTTATCATCTCTTACTACACCATGGTGAGGTAGATATACCGCTTTAGGATTAGTAATATCTGGAAACTCCACTTCAGTCATGTGATTAAGATTAATGTATTCGTTCATAACCTTACTATATTCTTCATAAAACTTGCAATTTTTTGCGAATTTCTTTTCTAGGAACTCAAACCTTTTAGCAGCTATATCCCTCAATCCATCCGCTTGGTCTTCAAGGTTATTGTTTTTGAATGGCAATCTCACTACATATCTTCCTTCCTTGTCTCTAAATGTTGTAGCCTCGTAATACTCTTCACATCTTTCTTCTTCTTTGGACAATCTCTTTTGTATGGTGTTTGGCTCGTTTTCCAACTCCCAAAATGCCTTAAGCATCTCATCCTCTGTAAGCTGAACATGCAAGCTGGTGAAGTTCTTCTGTGCTGAAATGCATTCTCGTGACATCCTTCCTGAGAGAACCCAACCTAGGATTGTGTTTTGTGCTATAAGATTACTCACAGGATGCTTGATAACGCCGTCTAACAAGACGTCGCTGTACACCTCAGCTCCAAGGAGAATGTCTATTCTCCCTGGTGTTGCAAATCCTGGGTCCGCCAGCTCCAACTTTTTTAAGTCTGACCACTCAGGAACACCTAGATTAGTGGTAGGTAGCATTGTTGTGAGAGAACGCAATACATATGCCTCTACTCGCACTGACGCATTGGGATTGTGACATGATTTAACGTAAAATGTAACCCTGTGTTTGATTCTCGATTGCCTCTCTCCCACACCTGACACCCAACCACTCACTGATTTACGATTAAGATTCAACAATTGTACGGTTGCCTCTGTAACAAACGAAGCTTGTGACCCTTGGTCTAACAAACCTCTCATAACGTATTTGCAACCATTCCTACTTTCTACTAACACATTAGCAGTAGCTAATAGGACACTGTTTGATTGTATATGTTCACTAGAAAAATTAGTTACAATATGCTCATCATTAGAAACAGAAATAGGCGTACCTGTAGATTTGTTGATCGCTATACCTGTAGTTGAAGTTTCACCTTCCTTCGGCTTCTCGTTCTGCTGTCCTCTCTCGAAGTGCAGAAGTGTGTGGTGCCGCCGTCCACACCTTTTACAACACGATGACTGACGACATTTCTTCACGGAGTGTGTAGGCGCTAAGCAATTGAAGCATAACTTGTTCGTCTGTACAAAGTCTTGTCTTTCAGTAGGAGACTTATCTCCAAACTTCTTGCAGGAATAGATGTAGTGTTCACCACCACACAAAGCACATTTTGTTTCGGGCTTTTTTCCGTCGCTGCTGGTAACATTTGAATGGAAAACCTTAGGTTTAGCTACCAGTTTAGGTTGCACCGTTTTTCCTTTGGTACTTTCTATCATTTCCAAAGCTCTGAACCTTGCTTCTAAAAAATCTCTTAATTCCGGCCAAGTGGGTATGTCGGTATTACAATTTGTGCTAATTTGTTGTTCCCACAGTTTTATAGTTTCAGAATCTAGCTTCGATACAACTAAATAGGTAGTTACCATATCCCAGGTATCAGTTTGAACACCCATGTTGTTCAACGCCTTCAAACAAGTCGAAGTTGTATCTACTAGTTGTTTTATTAAACTAGCCGACTCCGACTGCACAGGTTTTTGCGTAAATAAAATCTTCATAATTGCGTTGCTGTTGAACCTCGTATTATTGTAACGTTTTATTAATTGGTTCCAGGCGTCATCATAATTTGTATCCGTTATAGAAAAGTTGCGTAATAGTGTCTCAGGTTCTCCCGATAAATTGGTCTTTAGGTAATGTAGCTTCTGTACACGTGATAGATGTTCATTGTCGTGAATAAGAGTACGGAACAGGTCGTAGAATGGTTGCCACTCCTCGTACTTTCCCGTGAATGTGGGTATCTGTATATTAGGCAACCTTATTCTTCGATTCTTGGAATCTTGCACGTCGGTAATTGATGAGGAGGATTGAGATAAAGCAGGTTCAAATTTTGATTCTTCTAAAAAAGGCTGAAGAGCTTCTCTTAATGTTGATTTATAATTTATGTATGTTTCTTCAAATACCTCATAAATATCTTGCTCAAAGTAAGGGTCTTCTCGTTTCGTATCACCCACTTTTATAATAATACACTTGTGGCCCTCCTTGAACTCCTTCCACAGTTCTTCCAATAAGTCTAACCTAGTTTCCAAATAAGATCGTTTTATTCTGTCTTTCGGCGATTTCTTATAGTTTCTCTCGGACCTTTGTAAGTTTTCCAGTAGCTCGTTCTGATACATAATCATATCCTCCATCATTAAACTTGTTTTACTCCACAAGAAACACAAATTATCTCAATAAGCACGTGAGTTGACAATGTACTGATGCGTTTTATAAGTTCGGTAACACGTAATAACGTCTATTTATTTGCATTCACTCATTAGTTTTTAAACCACTTCTCAGAAAAAATCCTTATCGCTCAGGAATGTTATTGTTCTCACTCGCGCGCACCTGGATCGGTCGATGACTTGAATCCGGCTCGAAGGACCATATGTTTGTAGCAATAAGGTTGTATTTGGTTTAGAGGAATTTTGAATGAATAAACGTGTGTTTGACGCGAAACTTTATTCTCAACTAACTTGACACATTAGAAAAGTGGACTGTATGTGATCATCTACATATCGATAGCTAGCTATATACTAAACTTATATTCATTAAGTTGTAGGTACTTGCTTAAACAATGTTCACTGTACTTAGCTCATGCACTAACTAATACTGGCATATTTTCTTTTTCTATTTAAATTACTGCATCGTGCTGGTATTATTGTAATATTTTATACACAACCAACCCGCAGCTCATCACTGAGTTGTTGCTGTAACGTTGTGAGGCCCTGGTGTGTGTGCAGCGTGTGCTCCAGTTCGATGACCAGCCCCTGGTAGCGGTCCGTCAGGTCCAGCAGAGCTGCAACATTCATCACATCACTTTCTGCAATTGAAATCATCTTAATACATACAGCGAGACCTATACAAAGGTTAGACTACACGTTTGAAATTGCCAATCCACCTTATGCAAGCGTGGTGATTAAAGCTCATTCCTTCTCCATGTGAGAGGGTTTTTCTTAGCAGTGAGGCAATTACAAGTTGATGATGGTGGTCTACATATACATTTTAGTAAGCTATTAGTCAGCTAAGTGATCTTATTCGTGGTATGAATGCCCACCAGCCGACTCAGCGTTAGTAGTGGCTTGCTCGAGCCTGTCGAGCCCTTCCTTCAGCTCAGTCCTCACCTGCGCCATCTGTTCCTGGAAGCTGGCCATCTGAAGCCAAAATAGCACTTTGATTACATTTTAACTTAATTGAAATATGTATATAGGTCACTCCCGTGAAAAGCTCAGCTACCTAGATATTACTTATTGTATAACAAACAATTAGATTTACTCATTTCCGAAACTCCATTGTTTCTTATTTTCCAATATGTACCTGAGTTGTGAGGCCGGAATCGAAGCCACTGAGCTGCGCGGCATAATCAGCGGCCTGAGAGTTTAACAGGGTGATCCGTTTATCAAGTCTCTCAGCCAGATCCATTTTTTCCGCTGTTCAAAATCACAAACATTAGTATACAATAGTACTAATCTATGTCGCGGAGAACCTAACGTGTAACCGGGGCTCCGGCTCGACGTGCAGAAGAAGGAACGGGGTGGTTTTTAGTCAGTAAGAGTCTGACACTCCCTCCCGCCTCACCCAGGCGGGAGCAGTCATTCGATGATCTTCCCCCCTTAAAAAATCTATATCTATACAGATACATAATTATAATAAACCTGTACAAGTGTAAATTCTGTACATTGAAAATATTAAAAAAATAAATATTAGGGGTTATAAATAAATGTTACTACATGGACACCGCACCCAAAATTGTTATAAAAAAACTTTTGTCTGTCTGTATGTTCACGCATCACGCAAAAACTAGCAACCCGATTTTTTTTATCTTTATTTATTTTCAGGACTTTTATCTGAAGACATGTCAGTCCTATTGATACAAATCAAGAAACCCTTAAACTAGTTGACTTAAAAGTAATAATACAAGCAAAAGCAAAAAACAACATCTAACAATGAAATAAAAGGCTCACTTAATACATAATAATGGAATTAAACTATACCATTAAAAGGAAAACGAACACAAAAGAATTCAACAAAATATTAGGTTGTTAGGGAATTACTAAAAATATTATACAGTTTTTTGGCTGCTTCCGAGTTGGGATTGGACAATATACTATGAAAGGTACCGACATCCAGCCTATTTATTTTTAAATCCCTAAACAAAGCTTCTCTATCAATTCGATACCGTTTGCATTCCACCAAGCAGTGTTGGACGTCAACCCGATTATTATGAAACTTGGTAGGCATATACTTTAATATCCTGGACACAACACTGCGTATTTATCCCGAAGGCATCAAAACTGCTGAAGGAACCGAGATGATATTTGGAGCACGTCTTTTAGCCCCGAAAGGGTAAGCAGAGGTGCACATTACGGCACTCAATGCCACTTTCCAATGTAACACCCACTTTTCACTATTTGTGTTATGAGTCCCATGTAATAGGGGGTGAGCCTACAGACATTATGCTGTCGTGGGATGTTTTTATATAGGTAATCTTAAGGAAAACATTTCCGTCATACAAGATTTCTGTGAAACAAGTGAAACAAGTGAAACAAGCGACACAAGTGAACGCGAGTTTTAACCATTAAGGTATTACTAAAAATCTTAGGTGTCTGCAACTGGGAGACTTCCCCCTAGTTATCGAGATAATACAAGTGTCCGGCGGCACCTAGCCGTCCGGCGTTAAGGGACTTCCCCCTATATGTTAAGATTTTTTTAAGTTCACAATAAAGAATAAATATTTTTAAGTACAGTACTTACGTACATTAATAAAATCCCTACTTTTTACTTGTATGTTCTTGACTTGATCACGACAATGTCCCCCCTACTGGCGCCAAAGCTAGATCCGCCCTTGACCACATACGCTACTTTTTACCCCTGGGAACGCGGACGAAACCGCTGGCTATACGAATGAATATATTTAACGTTGAATACTTTACCGACTCCCTTGGACGTACTGACGGCCACGTCGGCCGAGTGTGTGGCTCGAGCTGTCATTGTATTTATAGTTTTCTTGAAGTCATCTTTAATGATTAGCAGAACATCTCTGGAAGAAAATTAACGTCTATACATGTATCTGTGTATGTGTGTGTGTGTGTGTGTGTGTAGTCAACTGGTCAATAAAGGGGGGAATCATATAAAATATGGGTACCTAATGTTAAAATATAAGACACGAGCTTCTACCTCAAACTTCGTGCGTGCATAAGATTTCCAGGTTGCTGTTGATGAATCTCCCCAATTCCTGAATCCTCAACGATCTTCAAACTCCTAATCCCCAAAAGGCTGATAACTTGTAACGCCTCTGGTGTTGCAGGTGTCCATGGGCGGCGCCGATTGCTTACCATCAGATGATACGTCTGCCCGTTTACCGGCTTATGCCATAAAAAAAAGTAATTCAATTGATTGGTCATGGAGACTAGGGAAAATGGAAAATAGTTACTCGAAAACATTAGAACAGTACTTACTCCATCTCAGCGTGGGTGACTGCTTTGTACGATGCATCGGAAGCTCTGCCACCCATTGACGGTCTGATGCCAGTCCCGTCTCCTCTCCTTGGCATGCCAGTACCGGGATCTATAGCGACTGACTTCCGAAATGAAGTACTGACGCTCTCCGGCTGGCATAGCAGGGAAGGTAAGGCTATGTAGTATTCTGCTACGAAAGATTCTACGTACTGATTGCAGCAACTGTTTTTGACTGTTTGTTAATCGAAAAGAACCTTGCATGAATGCTCAGGATTAAGCGGTTTAAAATTTATTTTATTTATTTATTTATTGCTAACAACTACATTACAGTCTAATCCAATACGATAGTGCGGCCATCAGTCTTGCAAATACTTAACCTAGACACAATACAACAATTCGGATGAAAAACAATAAAGTTCCCCATTAAAAAGTATCATAAAGTTCCCCATTAAAAAGTATCATAAAGTTCCCCATTAAAAAGTATCTAACTTAAAACTACAAGCAACTATTTATATGTACAATAGGTAATTATAAAATTTAAATCTTAAATATAACACCTAAAGACATACCTACACTTAATATCTCGTCCCATTGGAAGAATAAAGTGTTATAATCACATGTGTCAAAATTCATATTTTGGTATATTCGTCATCCTTGTAATGTAAACTATCGATTGATACTATTTTTATATATTTTTATCCATTAATTCGAAAGATACAATGCTCGAATAAAGTTTTATCCGCGCCGACTACGTAAAATAACTACGCATGATCACATACAACAATATTCTCCGCCTAGCTCCCGTGCAATTAGCTGTGCGTGCCGTGTCACTTCATCATAAGTAACGTTGTTCGACGGAGTAACAGCGAGTGGTGTTTGTTACGATGAATACCCAAAATTTGATAAAATTTGTTATATATAATGGTTTGATACAATTTACACGACGTTTTATTAATTTCCCACAAAGACAGTATTTACAATCACATAAAACATTGTTTTACGAAATACCAAAGCTTACTTATTAGAACTTAAATCTGAACTAAATATTTTAATAATAACTTATATAACATTACGGTAACTAATAACACTTGTCTTATTTTTTCCCCTATTTTTCCAGTTTCTTATAAACTTAGTACGTTTTACTACGTAAAATTTTGTATATTTTTCGTCCGCAAGTACGCATAAAACATTATTCTACTAAAGAAATTATAAAAGTGAGTGCCGTATATGCAAATGACACTTTTTTTTACCAACGGTTTTATTATAAAACAATATTCGAAATCTTAAAATTGCTATAAAATGGTTAAATTTAATTTAAAATATGAACAGCTTATACAATAATCTATTAACAACTAAATGTACCGTTTAGACTAGGTAGGCACGGCAAAAAAGTAACTAATATAAGTTTACATTGAAAATACCAATGGACCTAAACACAAGAGTGCACGCGTTCCTTTTTTGACATGTTTGCATGCGTGGTCCTCTGTATTAGAAAAATCGAAATAGTTTATTTTTCAAACTCCCAAAAAATATTAAACACGTGAAAAAGTGAGTGCGTACTACCATAGTAGACCACTCGAGCGCTCATCTAATTACACTTATCTAAGTTATGTACGTACATTTATTTTACTGATTTTTTTAAACTATTATGTTATGCATAAACTTCTTGTTACTTTTACAAAATCAAAGGAAAAATAATTATATCCAACATAATTTTATTTTTAATAAAATTAAATATTTTTAATAAAATAAAATTTTTGAATGATGATTTCTCAAACGATGAGGAAGCAGCAAGGAGCAGGGGCTCAATTGGTGAGTTTATGGTGCCAGTGGAACAGACGACCTTTGAGCTGGAATTTGCATTAAGTAGGGAATATGAAATAAAGTACACCGCCAAGACGAAAAACAGATGTTTAAATCGGGATACACCAAAGAATTGCAATTTTACTTATAAATATTATAACGAGCAAGCGACGCAATACGCGATAAAACTATAGTTAAAACTGCATGAGATAAGTACTGCAACAGCACTATCGTAGAAGACGACTACAGAGACCGCCACAAAAATTAAAGTAAGGCAATCGTAGAAGACATCATCACTAGCGTTTGTGACCATGGAACTCATTTGCATCTATCCAATCACATTATTTAAGAAAAAAGACGACAAAATGATGTCTAGACGGTAGTATATTGTCCGAATGTACAAATTTCAACAGAGTTGCACTTAAATAGGTTCAGTATTTTAAGCGATAGATTGTCCCGGAATTTTAACGCTGAGTTCCTATCCCGTAGGATTTTCAAAATACAACAATCATAAGTCCTTTCCAGTGCCAGTGAACCGTAAACCAAATTTCAATCAAGTACGTTCAGTGGTTTAAAAGATAGAGTCCTGAGATATAGCACATATTTTAATTCTGGGACTTCCAGGTTATTACTTTGGTACTTATAATGTGGCCTGATTTGTACCAGTGAGACGCTACTTATTAATATACTATAACCTAAAGGAGACGGGCAAACTTTCATAGTAAATTTGATCTCGACCGACTAAAAATTACTTTTGAAAAATGAAATACTACGAGTTTTCAAGGACTAATACTACTATTTAACTGGATTAGGATCAGGGATTTTCTAATTCAATGAACTGAATACGTTATTTTCATGGACTAGCTTCTGCCCAAGGCTTTGCTCGCGCTCTTTTAAAGGATTGGGGATAGGTCTCCAAAAGAAAAAAAAGCATTTGCTTTTACAGTTTTCTATTGGCAGTCAATAGCTTAAGCAATATTTATGGTTGCCTTTTCACAAATAGACATGACTTTATCGAAATTTCCACACGGTTCTCTTCTTTTTCTCATCAAGGATGTAGTATGTAAGATTCCAACGCTAAAAGAATTTTTAAACCGGCCCCGTAGTTTCGAAGCCTATTCAATTCAAACAAACAAAAAATTAAATCTTTCCTCTTTAGTAGACTAGTAGTTAGTATATTGTTTGTTCTTTAGTCTAGTGTTGTCGGAATATTTGATATACTTAATTGTTTTCTATGTGAACAGTATCGGCCGAAAGTCCTTTGGAGCCTATTACTTGAAATAATACGAAGTACCTCAGAGCAAGACAATTTATTTATGTCAAAGCAGACAACCTAATGTTTTGCCGGTAACGAAACCATAGCTTGAATTTAAATCGGCCAACGCCATCTATCGAGCTATGGGACAACACAATAAATAGTAGTATGGCGTTGGCCGAGTGCATCTTTTAAACAGATTATTTCTACACTGAACATTCCGCCCACCAAAAGGAATTCCTTTTCGTACCGCCCACCATGCATAAACTTAACAACTAGGAGAACAGTGGACTGTATGACAATTATATTACTATATTACGAATAATACATCGAGATAGATCTAGTGGACGGCTTCTTTTAGCAGACATTGGCGCGGACAGTTATGGTTTCAATCAAAATGAATAGATATAAGTACAAAAACATTAATCTGGGTGACGAAATTCTTGTTACCGACAAAAATATCAGGTTGACAAAATTCTGACAAAAACAATATAACTAAACTACTAACTAAACATTGTAATCAATACATGACAGTGCACAAGAGTAAGAGACATTGTTATTTCAACAGTGCAGTATAATAAAATAACATAATAAAACCTTATCTAAAAACATACGCAACTTAAATAATTAAATCTACAAGATTTTGCCTTATTCAGTAACAGGAAGAAAACACAATTTTGAAATTGGACGTTTAATCATAGAGCCCTTACAACGAACAGTGACAACTCGCGTCAAGTTATCTCTACCCGGATGCAGCTCAACAATTCTGCCATACAACCATTTAGCTGGAGGTAAGATATCTTCTTTTATGAAAACTACATCACCTATTTTACAGTCAGGTTTACGAACATTCCACTTATGCCTTTGAAAAAAGTTTGTTAAATACTCCTGTTTCCATCTACGCCAAAAGTGCTGCACCATACGCTGTACTAATTGCCATCTGCGTAAAGTGCTAACTGTGACACTTTCATAGTTGTAGTCAGGAACCATTACCAATGGATGACCCACCAAGAAATGACCCGGAGTCAGAGGTACAGGATCCTCTGGATCACTACTACCCTGAGACAGGGGCCTAGAGTTTAGGCATGCCTCGATTTGGGAAAGTACTGTGGACAGTTCTTCGAACGTCAAAGTGGAGTCACCTATCACACGCTTCAAGTGGTGTTTTACACTTTTCACCCCTGCTTCCCACAACCCACCAAAATTAGGAGCGTGAGGAGGGATAAAATGCCATTCTGTTTGAGAGTTTGCAAGAGCAGCTGCAATGTCTTTGTACATCGAACTCTGTTGGTTGAAAAGCATCTGCAACTCTTTAGCAGCACCCACAAAATTTGTACCATTGTCGCTCCAGATATGACGACAGTGACCGCGCCTAGAAACGAACCGTTTGAACGCTGCCAGGAAACCCTCAGTCGTCAAATCTGAAACAACCTCTATGTGTACTGCGCGCGTAGCCATACATACGAACAAACAGATGTACCCCTTATACGACCGCTGTCCACGACCTTTGGAGACTCTAATGTGAATAGGGCCTGCATAATCGACACCGGAGTTCAGAAACGGCTTACTGGGAGTCACTCTGCAAACCGGAAGTTCTCCCATAAGCTGTTGATTCGTGGTCGCCGAGTATCGAATACAGCGAACACAACGACGTATATAAGCTCGTACAATATTTTTAACCCGACTGATCCAGTACTTGATGCGTATAAAATTAAGTACCAGTTGCTGTCCTCCATGAAAGGTCCTTTCATGAGCGTCGGCTACAATTAACTTAGCCAAACTTGAATCATGAGGAATAACAACTGGGTGCTTTGTATCATCAAGTAATGGTGAATACCGTAGCCTTCCTCCAACTCGCAATATCCCACATTGGTCGATAAATACATTCAACTTATATAAAGAACTCGACCTTTCCAATGGACTCTTATTTTTCAGGGCTGTCAATTCAGCCTGAAACCATTGCTGTTGGCTTTGTTTGATACATACATTCAACGCTTTGTGAATTTCGGAAGCTGACAGGTATTTTGCAACCTTAATATTCGCTTTACGAAGTTTTAATGATTGCAAAAATCTTTTACAATACGCAACAACTCT